CATTTCCATTTTAAACCACAAGATGGTGGAGATGCCAAACATCACTTTTCATGTAATAAAACTCTTCACTGATAGAAACTCTGAATTTGGAAATTAATTCAATTTTCTCCTTCCTGATACGCCGATAATGAATGAACACTGAGGAAGCAGTTATAAACATTGGATAAATTCATCACTTTGCTAATTCTAAGTTACACAAAACACATTTGGTCTGTTTCAAATGTCACTTTTTCAGTTTATTTTATGTACAGTATTGGTATATACTTAGAGGATACACTTGCAGGGCTACAGGCAATGTGCAGGAGAATGGATTATGCTCAAGGAGCTGACACAGGTGTGATAGGCCGAATAGACTCCTTATTTGCTGTATGCGATAGGATTCTTTAAATAATCTTTAATTAATACCACCAGGGAACATGCCATGACACATTAGAAAGGAGGTGTTGAATTTAGAGCCAGTGTGTTGGTTTCAGCAGGTTCACTGAAAGAGCCACATGGAAATTTTTGCACAATTAACGGCTAATAAGGAACAGGACCTTTGAAGAAAATTGACATCGCCAGATTTGAGAGGATTGCTTCAAATAACCAGTAATTTCTATTTAGATTACAACAGCAACAACCTCATGTAGGACATAGAAAAACTGAAAAAACTAACAAATGATTAAGATGCCCAAGTCAATTGTGTTATTTTTTTTTTCCCCCAGGTCCTATTTATTACTTGGATTTACGTCACACAGATGTTAAGATTCAAGTAAGATTAGGCAGAGAATGACAAAACAGAACTGAGGGGCAAAGTTTTTATCAACAAGAAACCGTCCAAAACACTACTGACATTTAATCAGAGGATTCATAGTTTCACCACTATATCACTGAATATTCAACTTTTCCATTAACAGACTCAATTAGGTTTTTTATAATATTAATATTACCACTGCCATATAAAAAGCATGCTGTTGCACTACATGTATGCAATCTAAGCCAGATTTGTGAGATAATAAGAGGCAAAAAGATATCAATGGTGATTAATTTTGTGTAGTTTCTAGAAGTAGCAGATCTGAGACAGTTAAAAATGTACCCCCATGTCACAGATATAAGCAGATGAATTGAGACCTGAAGAAAATGGACAACAGCATCTAAGTTTGATGGGTTAAACTAAACAATGGTTGACAAGTATTAAGATTGTATTCATTGTTTGTGTGTTATTTACTTAAATAGATGTCTGACTTCTTCCACATATGCTAGAAATGCTGTGAACACTAGATTGCACTCCTTATTCACTGAGCTTCGAGATAGTAAATAGTCAAGCAAACTAGATCAAAGACATAGTCATTGGCGATGATCACACTGATTCTAACTGAGCACCAACATTGATCAGCTACTTTAGCAAGGAAGCACTAATTGTATTTGACCACTTTTGAAAAGAATATTCCTTGTTGCAGAAACAGTCGATTGACAATACCTTGATGAGATATGATCTGGAGAGGAGGTGGGCCTTGTGGTTTTTGATTTCCAGATCCTGCACACTCATTATGAATACTTAATCAAATTGAGTATTCCCAATTACGATGGGATGATTTCTCCAGCAACATGTAGGATTGGAGGGTAGCTACAGAATATAAATTGAACGTGTAAAATAAATGGCACTTATGGCAATGCAAACCCCAGTCATGATTAACATGGGAACTGTCTAATTATCTTCATGCTGCCCAGGCTTCGTAGTATGGTAGTATGCACCTTTTTTGTTTGATGGATCAATCATTTGATGGACCAAAACTATTTGCCAGTTTGTGTCCACAGTTTCACAACTGGCAGAGTGTGTTTATTGCAGTTAACTGATAGTGGGGTAATTTTTTGCATTTGACTGTACCTTGCTCATGCAAACAAAACAGGAATCTTCACAGAAACAGCTAGCTGAATCTTGTTTTTAATTAGCAATGTTCCACTAAGCCAAACAATCAATTGCAAAACAATAGGATTCAAGAACATTTGAAGGAGCAATTCACCAATGTAGCTAACTCTCTATAGGCAAAATACTATCCCTGCAGCCCTCATTGTGCTGTATATGGATCGCGTTTTGATTTTCTAGCCCCTTTTGATCCAAAGGTTTCAACTGATGTCACATATACTTCAGTTGCCTAAGCCCTAGGCTCTGGAAGTCAATCCCTAAACACCTCAGTCTCACGCTCCACCTTTGAAACACTCTTTTAAAACCTGTGAGCAAGCCTTTGGTTGCCTGTCTAGATGTCTGCTTATATGGTATGGTATCAAGTTTTGTTGGACGGCCGCTCCTGAGAAGAAGTTTCAGCTATTTTACTGTGCTGAAGGTGCAATATAAATGCAGTTTGTTGCTGTCGTCGTCACCGGCACCAATTCCACGAGCAGCGTCTGATTTATGAATCACCACTGCTGCCACTCCACTGTTGGCAGAGAGGAAATGGAAGTAGTACGTTTATTAGAGTCCTCGCAGTTCTTCTGCCAGCACACTTCATGGTGCAGTTTAAACTGCCATACCCAGTAATGCTAGCAGCCACTATCAACCACTTCTTTGTGGTTTGCATTGTCCTTGTGAAGGAATGTCTACTGATATTCCTTTGCACCTGTGTAAGTTACCCTTCATTTTCCAGATCTACAGCATTCCTGACTTGCCAGAGTACAAAACAATAAATTATGTAGACAGCTCATAGTTTCCTGCTGCCATTGAGCAATGCTCTGTGATCGCTCATCATAGAATGTTACAGCGCGGAAGGAGGGTTATTCGGTCCAGTGAGCCTATGCTGGCTGTTTGAAAGAGCTCTGTGTCCCCTTTGCTTTCCCCAGAGGCACCATAACATTTTACCTTCAATGACTAATCCAATTCCCTTTTAAAAGTTATCATTGAATCTGCTTCCACTGCATTCATCATACCATGCTGCATGAAAATTTCTCATCAGCCCTCTGCTTCGTTTGCCAGTCATCTCAAATCTGTGCCCCGACTACTGATGCTCCTTCCACTGAAAAGAGTTTCTCCTCTTATATTCTGTCACCAACTTTCATAATTTTGAGTGCCTCATTTAAATTTCCACTTTTTGTATGAAGGGGAATAGCCTACAATCTCTACCTGAATGAAGTCCCACTTCCCCTTGTTTATAATGACACTTCATGTGGCAGTGGTAGTGACCCTACCTCTGAGCCAGAAGGCCTGGGTTCAAGTCCCATCTGCTCCAGAGTTGTATCATAACACTTCTGCACAGTTTGATTATAAATGTCTACAATGATGCTTCATGGTCCACAGTGATGAGTCAGTCAAGCAGGAATGACTTGGTCATTGTAGACGTGCTAGAATACAGTGCAATTCAGCAAAGCGTTCTGCAAGCGATCCCACTGGTACATGGTTTAATACTCCGAGCCATACCGATTAGTGGCATTTTAAAAAAATAAGAAATGCAAATTCCTTGTCGCTCAAGGGACCATGAAGACATACAGTTTTTCATGTAGCAGAAGGAGCAGAACTTATTATGCATTGAGCAATGTGATTTACATTATATTTAGAAGGCTACTGAATCGCTGTAGCAGCATGGCTGAGTCTAACATAACTCCTTGTCTGACGTTACATACAGGTATTTTCAGCAAGGGAAATCTGTGCCCTGACTACTGATGCTCCCTCCAGTAAAAAGAGTTTCTCCTCTTATACTGTCACAACTTGCATAATTTTGAGTGCACTAGTAAGAGATGAGGAACAGGATTACCAGTTAATTTATATTCTGCTAAAGAACAAAGAGAACAAAGAAAATTACAGCACAGGAACAGGCCCTTCGGCCCTCCAAGCCTGTACCAACATGCTGCCTGTCACAACTAAAACCCCCTACCCTTCCGGGAACCGTATCCCTTTATTCCCATCCTATCCTGTTCCTGGGATCATTAAGACTACTCGCCAGCATCGTGATAGGTAAATTCAAATAAGCTTGGAAATGGTTACCTACCTGATCTGTACCACAATGGGGCAGAATTGCTCAAAATTTATCCCAGTTGTCATGGCCAGGGCTTCCAAATGACTCTGCATGCTCAGTTGCTCAATTGTTGCAACTGTGGTGGACACTTAGTGACTGATTGGCAGCGGAGAGACTTTCACTCACATTATTTTGCACATCTCATGCAACGTGGGAAGATTGAAATCCAGCACTGGGCCAATTGATGATTTTTGTAGTGGAATATAATTTTGAATGTTCAGATACATTAAGCACTGCAGTGTTTTGGTTCAAACTGTGTTCAGGGTTTGCAGCAATCTGATGTTTTGCTGAATAAACCAAGGTCATTCAAACTACATTTTACAATCGAGGCTTATCATGTCAGTATGCAGATAATAAAATAATGACTCGGTGTACACTTCAGTGTTTTACCTGTCTTGTGAAGAACAATATCAGTACTGTTCCTATTTGACAGCAATTAATCAAATCCAGTTGTGTCAATATTTTTCATTTGCAGTCAGTTATTGGCAGCGTTCATTATAATCCTGTCTTATTTTTGGGTATGCATTACTCAAACAGTAAATACAACTCCATGTTTGAGTGACTTTGATTCAATTCTAAAATTGGTTAATCATGTACTAACTGGAATAACTGTAGCAACGCAGGCTTTTTATGAATGTTCGTGTTTCATTTAGGCTTCTGTAATAATTCACTGAGGTTTGGAATTCTGCTAGGCTGTATGGTGTGATAGTCATTACAGTGGCTCTAATTCAGATTTGCAGATCAATCAAAAAAATTGATCATTAAAGATCGGTCTTCAGCCCTTCTGAAGAGAATCTAACAATGCTTAAGATGTAACAAAAATTGCTGCTGAAATTATTTCCTTTTTAGTGTGCATGCCAATCACATCTACAACATATTTTCACACCAGAAGTGTTAGTTCCTTGATATTTATTCATTTCCTATCATGTTATGTCGTTCTTCCATCGTTATCCACAGGAGGTGAATAACTGTTTAGGCTTGTGTTTATCATATGGTCATTGTGTCCTTTTTCAGTTCGGATTCACCTTTCAGTGTTGAGGGTACAAGACTACAACGAAGATCTGAGTCCCCTGATTCGAAGAAACGGCGTATACACAGGTGTGATTTTGAGGGCTGCAATAAAGTGTACACAAAAAGCTCTCATTTGAAAGCACATAGGAGGACGCATACAGGTAGGAGGCTACAACAGCTTGCATTGATGCAAGACCTTTAATGTGAAAATATTACAAATGTAAATAAATAAGTCAACTGAACCAAATTGCAGAGGGAGGTATTAGGACAGATGTCTAAAAGGTTTGCTGAAAAGATTGGTTTTTAAGCCCAAAGAGAAGAGTTGAAATTAAGAGGTCTACATTGTGGAGTCGATGATGGCTTATGCTTTGTTTTTAGACGAAGGTGCAGTTAGAACACACAGGTAATGTCAGAGACAGAGCACCTAAAGAAGGAATAGAAAGCAAAAATGAAAGAAAGATCAAACTGTTGTATTCATTCATTCATCAAAGGTTTATGTAATTTAAAAATTAATGTTAATCATGGCCAAGGGTCAAACGGAGGTAAGTATTACAATCAATCATTTTTCCAAGTGACATATAAAATTACAAAATTGATTAAACTGACCGCAATAATTTGTTGATCAATAAATTAAGTTCAAAGTTTGACCGTCATTATGGAGTTATATTCCCTGTGCAGGTGAGATATGGCCTGTTCTTAAAGCTTGTCATTTCACATCTTAATTCAGATAGTTTTCTTGAGTTGACTGGTAGCCCTATGAGATCTGTCTACAGGTAACTAGTATGGAAGCTTGGTACTTGGCAGCAATGCCAAGAAAGAGTGGCTGTGTTAAATACATCTTTACTCAAGTTACCCCAAATCATAATTAAGTTAAGCATCTGAGTAAAGATAGCAGTGAGGGCTAAAAATAATTCAGCAAACAATTTTCTGAACACTGTCTGTGTCTTTACACTGTTTTGCAATTGCACACAGCCACACAGGTACCCAATATTCCAAAAGCACCCCTTTTACATCCTCAAAGTCTCAAAGAACTTTATAATGACTGATGTACTTCTGAAGTGCTTGCACTGTTGAAGTGTTGTAAAAGGTATTATAATGGCTATAGGACATACCATAAAGGTATTGTTGGACAAGACCATGGAGAGACATGATGATGAAGATTTTAAATTGAATGTGATATTGAAAGTAATGAAGAACTACAGAAGCTTGTAACTTAAAGTGGATAGAAGATCAGAAGCCAGAAGAAATGGAAGTGAAATTTCATTGGGAAAAAGTGACGATTAGGGTCTGTTTGAAAAGATGTATGTAACAGAGCATTTAGAAAATCGTAATGTATTCAAGTAGAGTGAAAATGACTTTATGAAGGGGAAATCACGCATCATAAATTTATTAGAATTTTTTAGATCAATTTTTGATCTATTAATCAGGATAGATAAAGGGGAACCAGTAGAGGTAATATACTTGGATTTACCAAAGGCATTGAAATCACGTACCGTGCATAAGACTATTAAGAGCTCATGACGTGGGGAGTTGTACGTTAGCTGGTCAATACTTTATCTATGTTAATAGAGGACAATGTTGGGATAAGAGGGACATTTTCAGAATGGCACCCCCTAAGTAGTGGAGTGCTAGGGTTCACTGCTAGAGTCACAATTATTTACAATACATATGAATGACTTGGTGAGGTGATGTGAAATGTACTGTTGCCAAATTTGTGAATGACACAAAAATAGGGCGAAAGCAAGTGATGAGGAATGACAGAAAACAAGAGTTTAAAGGTGGATGTAGACAGATTAACTCAGTCCGCAAAAACTTGGCAGATGAAATATATGTAGGGAAAATCTTTGGCAGGAATAGTAGAGCAACTGAATTTTATTTAAATGGAGAAAGAATGCTGCAGCACAGAGGGATTTGGGAATCCTTATCCCTGAATCATATAAAAAAAAACTAGCATCCAGGTTCAGCATGCAAATAGAATATTGGTCTTTATTTCAGAGGGAATTTATTGTAAAAATCGGGAACTTTTCTTAAAGTGTACAAGGCATTAGCTTGTCCTGGAAGGATTCAAACAGGAACTCTTGAGTGATGGACATAGAGTTGGGACAGGACAAAAACACTTGAAGATTTGAAAAGATTGCGAGGATAGAGGGACCAATATAGTCAATTAAACAAATGGGCCTTGAGTGATTATTTTGAAAAGGGTTGTGTTCCCTTTTTTGAAAGGGACACATGATGTTCAACAAGTCATCCTTGCAAGGGCCTTGGGGAAGGCTCATCTGTTGGTGATTGAGATTAGCAAATGGGTCTCTTGGAAGAGATTTAAAGGAGAACACCAAGGGAAAAATGGGTGTGAAGCTCTCGGGTCATGGGGAATCAAATGTAGTATGGATGGGAGAAATTATACAAGAGACAGCGTGGACAATGGTGTCAATCTTAGAAATGAAGTCATGAACTCTAACATCCCTTTCCCTCACTTTTACACAATAACCCCAACACCATGTGTTTAGAATCATATGAGAGAATGGTGTTACACCTCACTTGGGTAGCCCACTGAAAGTCAAGCCCTACTATTCCAGGAGTCAAAAATTAAAGACATTATGAAAATACTCAACGTCCCCAAAGTACCTCTTTGGTAGACCCCGGTTAATGGAAAACAGTGACGAAGTTTCTATACTGACAACTATTATTTATCACAAATAAATAGATTCTAACCATAGATGAACAACTATGAGCTGTCAACATGTCACTCCACCAGTTAAAACTCTAAACCCCTTCTAAACCTTCTCCCTCTCCCTCTCACTCCCTCCCCACTCTCGCCTCCCCGCTCTCCCTCTTTTTCTCTCACGCAAACACACACACACACACACACACACACACACACACACACACACACACACACACACACGACAAAAATTGGGATATGGATAGGAGGGGTTAAAAAGTACTGGGTGAAACAGTTTAATAGTGCCACTTCACAGGATTCAATGGATTTGATTCCTTTTGTTTCCTAAGTCCTACAGTCTCCGAGTTTTCCTTTTCAGCTGTTTCCCTTCTTCATAGAAGACAGAGTAACTCATTCACAAATTATGAAGTTTTTGACTTATTGGGCAAAAGGAACAGCTTACAGTAACTCATAAGAGAAAACAACTGGCTTTCTTTTGTTTCACGTGTTTTACTGGAGAGAGAGACAGATAGACAAATAGAGACAGAAAGAGAATCTCATACCACTTGCTCTACAAGAGGTCTGAAGGCTTCTCCTGTATTATTCACATACACACACACGGATCTGCTAATCAAGTACCATTCAGGGAGCTGTTGACAGGCTGATGACCTTTGACATTCATAAGTTGTCACAACTGCACAAACCAATCAGCTACCTGTTACCAGCCAAATCTCACTTTGTGCATATGCCCCAGTGCCATGTTGTCTATTTACACCATACCCCACTGTTTGTAGAACAACCGTGTAAACATGAGTTAAAATGAGTTTCCGTAACTTGCTTTTTAAAAGTACAGCAATTCAATCCTCAGTTCTTGGTTGTAAAACAGTACTTTTTCTCATTTTGGTCCACAATCAAAAATAGTATAAAATTAAAATATATGGTCTATAAAGGAGTTGGAAAGGCTAAAACACCGGATAATCTTGACTGACGTTGATCAAAGCACAATTATGCTTGGCATTGTCAGTAGGAGGAACATATCTTCTGTGATTAAGTATTTCCGCTGTTGTCAGTTTACATTATATGAGTTACCCATTTTCCCCAACCCAGGAATCGATGTCTGCAAAAGAGCCTGGAGTTTCTATTCAATTACGTTGTCCTTTCTGACATAATTCTCTTTATGTTGGTCTAACCATCTCAAAAGATCAGAGTTGTAAGCACAAATTGTGTTTGGTGCCAGTCTATTTTGTGCTATCTTTTGTGTGGACCTTTCAACATCATCCCACAAAACTTACCACAGTCCGCAACCTCCCTTATTCATCTGAAATTTTGGGAATTTTTGGTCATCTTTGAGGAGGTTGTAAATATGAAGTTGTATTTTTTGGCTACAGGGACATGAATGGAATTTTCTTTTACATTTACTCACGAACTCACTAATCTAGAAAATCCAATAAGAAAACAGCTTAAGACATAGTTTTTAAAATTCATTCAAAATCAGGACCCACACAGCTGTGGATTGATACTGTGATTTAAAATGCTTCTAATTTTTTGTGATTAAACCTATTTCAACTTTGTTCATCAACTTTAGCAAGTTGCCCTCATGAGAATGCTCAGCTCAGGTTTGAAGAGCTTGCAGGCTTTATTGTATGCAGTTGGATCTGACACAACGCAGGGATGGGGATAGAGTATACTAGGTTCTGAGGGTACTTGATAGACCAGACACTTAAATGATGTTTGGGAGAGATGAGAACCAGAGGGCCTGCTTCAAAAATAAGGTGTGTCACATTTAAGAAGAGTTGAGAAATTTATTTCTCAGAGGAAAACAAGGTTTAAAATAATACTTTTCCAACTGGAACAGAAGCAAATTTGGACAACTCCTTGTTGTGTCAGAATCCCTATGGACCATTCGGCCCATCGAGTCCACACTGACTCTCCGAAGAGCAGCCCACCCAGACCCAC